AAATATCTGCTTGGCACAGATTTTTCGACTGCCAGTCCAGACAGGGACATATAGTTGAGGTTATTCTTCCCAAGGTGCATTACTTTACATTTATCCTCATTAAATTTCATTTGCCATTTTGTTGTCCAGTCACTTAGTTTGGTGAGATCTTTTTGAAGTTCTTCACAGTCTGCTTTGCTCTTAACTACTTTGAGCAGTTTAGTATCATCTGCAAACTTTGCCACCTCACTGTTTACCCCTTTCTCCAGATCATTTATGAATATGTTGAATAGGATTGGTCCCATTTATGAATAAGTTGAAAACGATTGGTCCCGGGGGGACACTACTAGTTAACCCTCTCCATTCTGAAAATTTACCATTTATTCCTAGCTTTTGTTTCCTGTCTTTTAACCACTTCTCAAGGACCATGAAAGGACCTTCCCTCTTATCCCATGGCCATGTAATTTATACAAGAGCCTTTGGTGAGGGACTTTGTCAAAGGCTTTCTGAAAATCCAAGTATACTATATCTATTGGATCCCTCTTTTCTGCATGTTTGTTAACCCCTTCAAAGAACTCTAACAGATTAGTAAGACATGATTTCCTTTTACAGAAACCATGTTAACTTTTGTCCAACAAATTATGTTCTTCTACGTGCCGTACAATTTTATTCTTTACTATTGTTTTGACTAATTTGCTCGGTACTGAAGTTAGACTTACCGGTCTGTAATTGCCAGGATCACTTCTAGAGCCCTTTTTAAATATTGGTGTCACGTTGGCTACCTTCCAGTCATTAGGTACTGAAGCCGATTTAAAGGATAGGTTACAAACTATAGATAATAGCTCAGCAATTAGCCACTTGAGCTCTTTTAGAACCCTTGGATGAATGCCATCCGGTCCCGGAGATTTGTTAACATTAAGTTTTTCTATTTGTTCCAAAACCTCCTCTAATGACACTTGAATCCGGGACAGTTCCTCAGATTCATCACCCACAAAGGACGGTACAGATTTGGGAATCTCCCTAACGTCCTCAGCCATGAAGACTGAAGCAAAGAAATCATTTAGTTTCTCCGCAATGGCTTTATCGTCCTTGATTGCTCCTTTTATATCTCGATCATCTAGGAAGTTTATATTATATAACATGTAATAGGAAGTTTTACAGTTAGAATCAGGGCAATGTAACAGTTTTTACTACAGATGTTTGAATTCCCGGTAAATCATGTTTGCTGCGAAGATGGGCAACATCTCAGTAATTCACAGATACGTGTTTTTATCAACTTGCTCAAGTTTGTGACTATCACTATTAGTATCAAATAACTGCTTTGCACAGATTCTTCGGCTGCCAGTCCAGACAGGGACCACTTCTCTTGCCTGACCTCCTGTATAAAAGGTGCTCGAACTTTCCCAGTATAGTTTATTTTGAATGAGGTATTATCTTCTTTTAAAAAATCTTGATTCTAAAACTGCTAGGAATGGAGAATCCACAAGTTCCACAACTTTTAGTAATTAGGCAAGAATCCTGCATAAAACACAGATTCTTTGGAGGTACCATCAAGCAGTAACAGAAACACTGAGAAGACCAAACACTTGTGCAGGAGGGGTGAAGGGTGTGAAAGTACCCTTTTGGTCCCCAAGTAAGCATGCCCCCACTAGTCCGGGGAAGGCAGGAGTGCTTGCTGCCTGAGCCTACCTCCTCCATGCTCTGGTCGGCCAGTAGAAGGCTGGGGCTGATTTCCGCACTTACTTGGGGGACTTTACAGGATGCATTCACACCCTGGTGGTCCACATTTACAAAAACAGCACACACCAGAAATTCTGGCATACGGGCCTGAAGGAGATACTAGCATATGCGTTCTTGCTGCCTCCAGCTGAAGCTAACCTAAGAAGATGTGCTAGATAGTAAGTAAAAGTCAGAAGGCAATCATCATTTGAGTTAGCATGTCTCATTATAAGTTTTCTGGTCATGTCATAAACTAATAGGAGCAGTCAGAATACCCAGTACCACATTGCTCTCTGCTTGCCTCATTACCAAATCCATGAGGACTTTTTAGCCAACAAAGATTCTTGACTGCATGAAGGTCATCAAGGTCCTAAGCACCTCTTTCAAACAGCTATTGTTCCCAAGAGCCTTTACAACGATCTGTTTTCTTCATGAACACCAGAAAGCTGCTGGGAATTGCATCAGATGTTTACTGAAAAACTGCATGAGAAGTTTTATATGAAAAGCAAGGCACAAGTGGCTTGTTGATCAACTTTAAAGAAATGGCTGCGAAATTAATTGGTGACTGTCTCAACTTTTATCAGGTCAGAATAGACTGTATTCCTCACAATTCAACACTCAAAAGTAGTTGGCGGCACTATGTCCCATATTAATATGCAAGTGAAAGGTCTAAAACATTTGCACAATTTAATCTTTATTTAATAATATAATTTTAGAAGCACAAGCTAATCTGTCTAGTCCTCCCTAAAGCAGCTGCAGCTTTCATGAATAATACACAGATTGTTCACCTACTGTACCCTCCTGACCCTTTTTCATTAGCAGAGGAGCATTTGAGAAAGCTGGGTTCCCTGTTCCTGTCTAGAACGACACCTTCCAACAAAAGAAAAAAGATGCCAGCCCATAGGAGCATTCCCTCAGAATGCTGGCTGTATAATTATGAGTTTCATAATGCTACACCACACAGTGTAGTAGCATGGTAGGGCAGTTCTTCAACAGGACATTGATATCAATAATTGAAATTGGACACTCCATTTGTAATCTGATGATTACCAATAGCCAACAGGTGTTGGACTTTCCACTGTGAGGGACTAATTCCTACATGTAGCTCACTCTCCACTGGTCTCATCCTCTTTTCCAAGAATCAGTCCTTTTTTAAAACAATTGAAAAAGCCAATCTCATACCTAGCTACCACTGTGCCTTTGGAAATACTTAAATATTAACTTCACTCTCTGATAGGCACAGCTGAGTCAATTCAGTGACCCAAATTCATGCAAGGTATAAATTCAGGAAAGTCAGTGACATTACACTAGGACTTAATTTCCTCACTAATATCCCATACTAGTTACATTTTTCTCACAAACCTTGCTCCTTTCTCTTACAAAAGAGAAAGTTTTCCCTCCAGCTCCTACAGTCATGATGTTAGCATAATTTTCAACACCTCTTAGCTTTCTTCCACCGTCAGGTTTTTAAGAACTCCTGCCACTTCTGCATCATCATTTAAAGCCAACCCTTTCCTCTTCATTCCTATTGCTAAGAATCTACAGTATGGTCACCTTTGTAATCTTTTCTCTGTACAGGCTCTTCCCCTGACACTAGTCAGAAGTCCATTAAACAGAACGAGACTTTGCATCCTCAAAACCTGCAGTCTGATTCCCTAGGAATGTCCTTTCAAATCAACAGCGTGTCAGGAAACACAAATTACTTTGCTACTATGAATGGCCAGAATGATACAGTAGAACAACATGCTGCCAGTCGGCAAACTCTCCTCCTCAACAGATATTCATAGGAAAAAGGAAATTAAAAATTACAAAACAGAACAACTTCCAGGCCGAGTTTCAAGCCACTCTAGGAACTCTGTGCATGGAACTTGATCCCCCCCTATGATTCACCAGTCTCCCTAGCAGCCACTCCTATAGCTCTTCTATTCAGCTCCTTTGCAAGGGGACAAGGAAGAGCAACTGTTAACTCTTTACTTGCTGGGTACCAGCTTCTGTTCCTACACAGACCTACTAGAGAAACAACCTTGACATTTCTAGTTGTACAATCAAAAAATTAAAAGATTAACACAGTTGGCATATAATTGGCCATAATGAAGCTTGAATTTTAAACCCCAAAGATACAGGGAGGGCACCTTCCCTTTCTTTGAAATTCTATCCATTTGACTGCAGAATCAAGAGACAAGAATGCTAGCTGGGTCAATTCCTCCATGTGCTGATTTTAAAAAGAGAATGAGTAGGCATGTGAGCATATACATAAAAGGAAATAAGGAATAACAATATTGACCTGAAACTTTAATATTCTCGTTACTCTTTTCACAAACATCTTTATTTTATAAAAATAGCAAAGTGTTAGCTCCGTGTGGCTATTAAGTGACTGATGCGCTTTCAGAAACCTTTCATGATTGCTAGCTGATTCCCCACACAATGGCATAAACAGGGTCTGAACTGTAGAGTGCAGAAATAGACAGGAAACAAAAGAAAGGGACTGCAGGTCAGGGACTGGTGACAGGTGAGGTCGGCAACTATACCCAGAGCCTTAAAGGTATTTATGCATCTAAATCCCATGGATTTCATTCCAGGTCAGGGACCAAAATATATTTGTGGATCTGAGCCCTGTACTCTTTAGAAAAATCGAACTGCATCATTAGCTACCTATATACTGTTGTGAATTTGTCCCTTAGTGACTTTTTGAAACTAAATCTCAGAGGGGTAGCCATGTTAGTCTATAACTTTAAAAAAATAACAGGGAGTAGATAGATAGATAGATAGATAGATAGATAGATAGATAGATAGATAGATAGATAGATAGATAGATAGATAGATAGATAGATAGATAGATAGATATCTATCTATCTATCTATCATGAGTTTTCATGGGGAAAACCCACTTCACGAAAGCTCATGATACTACATATATAGTTTTGTTAGTCTCTAAGGCTGTGTCTGGACTGCAGGGTTTTTTAAAAAAAAAAAGTAGCCTTTTTTCGAAAAAACTTCACCTGCGTCTAGACTACAGCTGCGTTCTTTCAAAATTAAATCGAAAGAACGCAGCTTTTCTTTCGACAGCGGTACTCCTCATTTCACGAGGAAGAACGCCTTTTTTCAAAAGTGCTCTTTTGAAAAAAGGTGTTCTTGAATGCAACTAGGGCTTTTTCGAAAGAGAGCATCCAGACTGCCTCACTTTTTCGAAAGAAGAGGTTGCAGTCTAGATGCTCTTTTTTGAAAGAAGCTTTTTCGAAAGTATCTTGTAGTCTAGACATAGCCTAAGGCGCTACACGACTACGCATTGCTGTTTTTGAAAGAAGTAACAGTTCCAACATGTGTACTCAGATAACATTTTGCTGCTTCCCCCAGCTGTAAAAATCTTCACCATGGTGCATTTTAGTGTGTGACTAAGTATCCTGTTTTTAAAGGGACAGTGCCTTATTTAAGCCCTCTTGCAGGGGTCCCAACATTTAAGTGGGAAGATTGTCCTGTATTTTCTGTCTCTTCCTTCCCATCAGTACTGGTAAGTCCCGCTGCTGGCCAGACCCTTGCTCACCAGCTGCCTGCCCACCAGCATGGTGGGGGAATTCAGTGACTGAGGATGAGGGTGGGTGTGCAAAGCTGGTTGGCAAACCTGCAGCGTGCGGGGCCAGTTGCTCCCTGCTGGCCCATCAGTGCAGTCTCTGCTGCGGGGTCTCCCCATAAATTAATTTTTTATTTTATTTAAAATGAAGTTTGATAAACTAACAAACATGTGAAAGTTTAAAGCGCTCAGTCGTTTTAATAATTTAAACTAAACTGTTCTCCCCACATTGCAAGTTGGGTTAATGCAATTGCAGTATAGTTGCATGGGAGGGGTCTTACAGCCCCAAGCCCATTGGTAAAGGACAGTGGGAGGAGTTTAGAGGGGTCACATGACACCCTTTATTTTCATGTGTCCATCTTGACCCCGAAAGTACTCCCTTCAGGGGCAGGGCATCCCCATTGGCAGGTGGGTACAGCTAAGGACATGGGTAACATATCCCCGTTTTTGGTTCAGAAAATAGTGGTCACCAGAGCCATTGTGGCAAGCCATTGTGAGGCACTTGAGAGAACAAGGCACAGGGAAACATTTCCTCACAAGCGTTGAATGCGCCTTGCACGTGACAACAAGTCACGGTAAAATGAGGATACAAGAGGAGAGTTCCACAACAAAGAGCAGATAAAGGGATTTAGGCACCCAAGTGTCATTTGTCTTTTTTCCCCCTCCCTCTTCTCACAGTATGTAGCGCTACAGATCTCTACTGATCAGCTGATGTCCTTCCACGGCTCCACAGGCCCCTGCGCCATGTGCTTTCTCTATTGCATTGGCAAAATAGGAGAGCAGGAGAATAAGGTCTATTCCAAGCTGCTGTGTGACCTGCTGAGCAAACATCTGAAAATACCTGCAGACAGGTGAGCCTGGACTGTAGCTTGCCTGATTTAGGATCTGCATATCTGCTAAAACTACTAACCCCAAACTACTCACCACTTTGCAACAACACTTTTTTGAACAGCCTGTTTGAAGATGCTAAAAATAAATATTTAAACTTGGTATTGCCAATTGTCAAAAAACAAGAAGAAATAGCCCCTTTATTACAAAAGTAGTCTGCTTTTGGTGCTGAACATCCCCGGTTTAGTCAGTGGGCAAGGCCAACTAATTAGATACAACCAGACTAAATATTAGAAAACAAAACAGATGCTATGAGAACTGAAAAAGAGGGGCAGGAGGAAAGTGTTGAAATCCTGTCAGTTTGAAAGCCTTATTAAAAATACCTCACTTGTGTTACAATGCTTCTAATTAAAAATAAAGGTTTAACACATTAAGTCACTTTCCACAACTTGTTTTCTTTTTCCATCTCATCTTCTAGAATGTAAGATTGTATTAATCAGCATCACTTGCTAGTTCTTATTAATTTCACTTTCAGGTGCTCATGCACTTGCATTTCAGTGCAGCATTAGGGCAACAAAACTGCCAACTTCCAAGCAATTTTTTTAAACTGTTTCCAACAGAATTTTTACAATATGAAAACAGCACTTCTATTGCTCTTCCTGGGCATGGCAACTTTTTAAATAATTGGAAGCTTCAGGAGGTAGCCGAGTTAGTCTGTACAGCAGGTAGCCAAGTTAGTCTGTACCACTTGTTGTTAAAAAACAAGTGGTCTGGTAGCACTTTATAGACTAACAAAACATGTCGATGGGATCATGCGCTTTCCTGGGCACAGCCCACTTCTTCAGATGACCAGAGTTTTAAATAATTGTAAGTTAAGTAGAAACAATGTGTACAAATTGCCTGGAAGTTAAGAATATATTAAGCTTTTGCACATGCTTGACAATTTAAGGCACATGTAATTCAGATAGTAAAATCTGGAGAAAGCCTCAAGAATTTGGCGATATTTATGCTGTAATATGTTAGTTTCACATAGTGAAACTCAGAAGGTTTGCAGAGCTCTGTTCTTAGCATCTCTCTTCAATTTCAGAATCTACATCAGCTACTTTGATATGAGTGCTGCCAACATTGGCTGGAATTGTACCACCATGGCTTAAGGAACCTACATAAACTAACAGGTTATTCTCGGATTTGTACTCACTGTGGCTCCACTGGGCGAGCAAATTTAAGGATTCTGTGATAACATGCTTGCCTGTTGCTGCTTGTACATTCTTCTGCACCACACCTGTAAAAGTGAAGTAAAGACTTTGAAAAAATGCTTGAGTGTAAGCCTCATTACTTTTCAGAGACATGGGAAGATGGACACACTTTCTGATGATCTGTATGAGACACACTTTTTAATTGTACATTAGACTTGCTACCACTAGAATTAGTTAACTTATTAAATGTCGGCAGCAATCTATCTACACAAAGGTTCCCAGGGCGAAATTTGAGTTTTCATTGCACAATGCCAGGAAAGAGGCAAGCATAGCACTTTATGCCAGACTGGATAGATTTCTGTTGCCATCGAAAGTTTAGTCAGTCTGCACCAAGCACTTGATTTTTAAGGCAATTTTGAAAGTAGTATACACGGTCTGACTTTAATATCAGTTTTACCTGAGGAAGAAGTACAGGACTGGGCAGTAGAACTCCATTAACAGCTGGCCAAAAGCCATATTACTGAGCAGGTTTTAAAATCTGGTCAGGTTAATCCATTTTAAAGAACCTATTTGGCCCCAAAATGTAGCCATTTTGGATTTGCTAAACCACAACCGAAACTAATAGAAGTTGGTCAATATTTGTGCATTACCAACAGCTCATACCATTGTAAATGGCTTTCTTGGATTTGTTTAATTGAAAGTGCAACCAGTTAGTCTTTGCGGAAATATGTATTATCATCTGTAGTTCAGAGATCTTGGGAAATTGAATTTATCACCATTAACTTGTCTCCTGCCTGAAGACTGGTTTTACCCAAACAAGCACAAAACATTGGACTCCCTCAAGAGTACTTTTCCAATGGAAGTTTTCTTTAAAAAACAAAAAAATAATAAAATAAAAAACAAAAAAAAATCACAACTACCATCACCATTCCCCCCTTTAAGCACCAGCTTCCAAACACTGCAGTATTTCAGGGTCTCAGGCACTACAAACTCACAAGAAACCAGAGTTATCCCAGGTAGTCCACTTTCAAGCAGAAATACCAGACATAAACAGCATAAAAGTAGTAAAATGTCAGTCATGTAAATTGATTCAGGGCTTGATCTAATGTATAAAAAGCATGTCATCCAACACAAACATCCTCCTAGCACTGTGGATATTCTACCATAGCGTCCCCAACTCAGTTATCAAGAAGTTTAGCCAAGGCTTTTACATAGCAAACAAGCCCTTCCCCCATTCTGAGACTCTCAGATATTAACAGAGTACACAAAGGTCTTCCTCCAGGCTTCTGTACTAGGCGACAGTTCATCTCAGTCTCAAGCTAGTCCCACATCAGGTAAATCATTGAAAAAAAAAAAAAAAAAGATTCTGGGGTGGGTAGCCAAAGTTTGTCTTTCTAATGACCGTGTCCAAAGTCATGGAGAAGGACAAGCAAGGAATAGAAGACAAAACAGAGCACAGAGACCTAGGAAGAGTCAAGTAGCAGGTAAGAGTAATTCCCCATTAACCATATGCCACACAGCAGACCTTTTCTCTGATTGCTTCCCTGGGCCGTTCTTACAGCTGCAACTCTTCTCCCGACAGCGTACAAGCCCTCACAAACCAGCCAGCCTGCACCTCTCCAGCCAGCTCCTTTCCTTAGTGGGCTTCTCTCTACATAGGGGCACCCTGAACTCTGGTAGCCATTTATCAGCGGTGACTGCTCATTAGACATTTTAGTTGCCAACCATTGACCTAGGCAGTTAATTAGCAGGTGGGCCAAAATGGCTCATTCTCCTTAAGACTTCAGTTATAGATAACCCAGGCTCAGACTCACCTTAAGGGCTGCTAGGAGGAAGGGGGTGGGAAACAGAGCTGGGGAGCGATTGGGGGCCAGTGGGGATGGATGGGAGGAGTAGGGGCCAGAGGAAGGGGGGCAGGAAGCAGAGCTGGGGGCAGCCACTGGCCGGAGTCCAACAGGCCATGCCCCCGGTGTGTGGGACAAACAGATGATATCTTTCTCTCCAAATGCAAACGGATAGATATCATACCAAATGGAGTGAAGGTGAAAAATCCATTGCTATCTACATACTGCACAGACTACGATGAGAGATTATGCGATACACTATCTAAAAAACTGAGGAATCACCTGATCAGAATCCTGTACAGCTGTGGTCACCAACAGGTTGATCGCGATCGACTGGTCGATTGCGAGGCCTTGACCAGTCGATTGCAAGGTGTCCTGTCCACCCCACCCCCCTTTCCCT